AGATCCACTCGCGCACACAATCCACAAATGCACTTGAGAGATCCACTCGCGCACACAATCCAGAAACACACGCGAGAAACCCACACTCGTGCACACAATCCACAAATGTACGCGAGAGATCCACACTCGCGCATACAATCCACAAACGCACTTGAGAGATCCACTCGCGCACACAATCCACAAACGCACGCGAGAGACCCTCACTCGTGCACACAATCCACAAATGCACGTGAGAGATCCACTCACGCACACATGGCAATCCAGACAAAGGAGAGAGCTCATGTTTTGGTTCAGTAATTTCACTTAATGGCAATGTGTAAGTCCTTTTTATTAAGGTTTTTTTTATCATGTGTGAATAAAGACTATGAAAACAGTCTAAAAACCTCCTACAAATGCACGCAAGAGATCCACAGGTGTGCATTTGTGGATTGTTGTGCGTGAATGTGGGTCTCTCGCGTGCGTTCGTGGATTCGTGTGCGCGCCTGTGGATCTCTGGCATGCATTTGTAGGAGGTTTTGATACTGTTTTCACTCCATACATCAAATGTACACTATATTTATAAGGATGTTGATATATTCAGAATTGAATTGAGAATGCTTTTTAAATTCCAATTTTAATGCAGAATTGCAATGTAAGGAAGTAGAGTTCAATTCAAAGACATTTATGTAAGTTTGTAACTATAAATGCTAAGTTGATCAAGACGATCTTAGAATCATAGATAGAAAAATCTTGTTAAGGTTACTCAATATATTCAAGTTTTCAAAAATTGGCTTCTGAGTAAACTTGAATATATTGAGCAATCTTAACTCGATTTTTCTAAGGCAGTAAGTTTTGCAAGATTTTTTCAAGTAGAGTTAACAAATTGACATTTACAGTGTACAGTGATTGGACAAAAAAATTTGAACACTTGAGAAATAGGCCAGATTTCTTCATTAAGGTGTTTGATCACCATTTGCATTCAATACAGCTTCCAACCTTGTTAGAATACATTCAGACAACTTTTGAATAGTCTCCATCTGAATATTGTCTATAAAAACATCTGCCAGTTGCTTTAGAGATGTTGGATGAGTGAATCTGGTTCTCACTCTTCTCTCCAAAACTACCCACAGTGGGATGATAATATTCAAGTCAGCTGGTTGAAGTTCATCTTGGTGTTTCAACTATCCAGGTTTTATGATCACAACTCAATCTTTATCACATTTTATCATCGGTGTCTGTGATTAAAGTTTTAGTAATAGCAGCTCTTTCATTAATGTTCTCTGTGGTCAGTTTTTGAAGAAACAGGATCTTCAAAGTGAATATTGTGGTTTGCTGTTACATTTCTGCAGTAGTTCTGTGTTGTTTGGACTTCTTGTTCGACGACCCCTATCGTTTACTTTAGGTTTTCATCCACTATTCTTCTTCGCTGATTAAATCTTGCCATGCTTTGTGTCCGCAGTCATGATGACTGTTGTTCTTAAAACACCAAACAAGAAGTCACCCACTTCACTAAGTGCTTGTACTAACCACTGCTGAACACAACTTACACTACACTGATATACTGTACAACCTAAATAATATATACAACAGAAAGATAAATAAAAGATAATCGCAACATTCGTTTTTTTCAGTGTGGCTTACACAAATGATATCGACCCCTATAATAACGGGTGTTCACATTATTTTGTCCAACCCCTGTAGATACGTAATTTCCCAGAATGCATTGCATGTGTTCAATTGCAATTCAGTACATTTCAATTCAGCCTAATGTTAGATATGGCCAATTCAAATTCACACTCATGAATTGAAAGCAAGACAATTCGAATTATAATACTATTAAAAACTATCAGAAAAGTATTTTCTTCTTCATATTTCTATCAATTTTCTGGATCTGGACTTTAGGGGGTTTGCTACATCAGGACCACTCGTCCAGAGACTGCAATCATTTACGACAGCAATGAGGACTTCCATGTTGGCCAAGCCAAGGTAAAGCTGTCCCTTAATCATCATTCAGTAATAAAATATATGAGACTAAAATGAGATATTAAATAGATTTAAATCAATTTCAAAATAATCATACATATATTATAGATGCACTGTGTTGAGCTGCATTATTAATATTATATGAGAATGTACGATAATGTACCATAAATGTATAAATGACCTGATTAGGTGGTGTGCCAGAGTAAGGAAGATCAGGTTACAGTGATCGGAGCTGGAATGACCCTCCATGAAGCTCTGGCTGCAGCTGAGCAACTCAAAAAAGGTACAATTAAATAAAGAGATTGTAAAGTATATATCTCATTCAAAAGGCTGAGGTCAGTAAAATTTTGTACATGTTTTTGAAGGAAGTCTCTTATGCTCACCAAGGCTGCAAAAATACAGCAAAAACAGTAATAATGTGAAATATTATTACAATTAAAAATAACTTTTCTATTTTAATATATTTTAAAAATTATAAATGTCTTTACTGTCATTCTTGATCTATTTAATGCATCCTTGCTGAATAAAAGTGCTGATAAACTTTAATAATAATATAATATAAAAAGAAAACAGTATTTTTTTTTCTGTGTACAAGAGTGGTTTTGTCTACAAAATAATTAGTGAGTTATAAGATTTCCTAAGTCTTAATTGTTAATGTCATTTTTAAATGAGCTGGATTTCATTGTCTCTTTATTGATTATCTTTAGTTAAATATATAGCATTATATTAGTCATAGTATTATTTTACATTTATGTAAGTAATACATAGTTTTCTTTACTGAATAAGATCTAGTAAAGAGTTATTTAAAAGTGCATGCAGCAGGTACTACTTCATATCCTTAGCACTGACTTAAGTTGTGTGTCTCCTGTACAACGTTTCTCATTTGTTCATTATTGTGATGTATGTGTGAGCTTAATGTAGACTCGGGTATATGTGCTTTGTGTGTCATTCCCCAGAGAGGATTTACATCAGAGTGATCGATTCTTTCACAATCAAACCCCTGGATGCCAAAACCATCATCGACCATGTGCGCGCCACCAAGGGTCGTGTCGTCACCGTTGAGGATCACTATTATGAAGGTGGGTTTCTAGCTTAGAGCACATTATCCCTTGTCTCAAGCACATATTTCAGCCTGGCTGCACATCCAAGTAGCATGAACAGCACGTTCAGCCGAGCAGGGCTGTATCGGTTCGTGAGTGCAATTGGCTGGCTGGAAGAAACATGATGTGTTGGCAAATTGTCATTGGATCGGGAAGCGAGAGGCATTGTGTTTTTTTAGCCGTGTCTCATTCTGTTCATTCGGGTGAAAAAAAGACAGAGAAGCGGATGGCTGTCAGGTCTCCTTAAGCAAATGTACGGCCGCGGGGCTTGTCATGTCCTAGATTACACAGGTGGCCCTGGACCTGGCATTTCTGCCTTCGTGCCAGAGGAGGAGTGAGGCTGGATGAGAAAGAGAGAGAGTTTAACATCCACAATCATTCTGAAGGCAAACATCCCCTCTGCCCTGAGGGAGAGAAAGAGGATCGGGATGGACAGAGAGAACGTGTGATCGTAGCAAGGTTGAAAGCAGAGGCATGTGGGGATAAAAAGAGATTTGGATAGTCTATCAAGGCATTATGTCAAGCATACATGAAATTTAAAAGCAGAACATGGTGCAGAAGGTCAAACAGTGACCTTTATGCACAGGTGAATGCTAATTTAAAAACAGGAGATCAAGTTTAATATGCTTTCTTGATGATAAAAAGAGCTTAAGATGGTCTATTTTGCTGGTTTTGGGCACAACCAACTAAACCAGCTTGGGAACTCTTTTTTTTTTTTTTTTATCAGCAGCAGTGTTTTTGAACATTTAAAGGTGAGCACTTGTACCTGGTGTTCTAACATCTGCCAGACATTAAAACATTTTTGATAATTAAGCTGAAATATATATATTAAATGAAAAGCTTATTAAACTAAACAAAAATGTTAAATGTGACATTGCCGACTAATTGAAGATTAAGTTAAAGCACTAACATTACTAAGTGGAAATAATAAAAAAATAGAACTGGAATAAAATGAATTAAACCTGAATAGCAATATTAAAATAAATGACAAAGGCACATAACAAAATTACAAAAAAAATCAAACTAAAATTAAAAAAATTAAAATATAAAAATAACAGCTAATTCAAAATATTAATACAAATTATAATAGTATATAGATAACACTAAAATAACACTGGTTTGGGATCAGTAGGATTTTTTCTTAAGAATTTAATACTTAAATTCCGCAAGGATGCATTAAACTGATCAGAAATGACAGTAAAGAACACAAAAACACAAAAGATTTCTATTTTCTATTTCAAATAAATGCTTTTCTTTTGAACTTTCTATTCATCAAAGAATTCTTTAAAATTGTGCGACTCCATAACACAGGTGGTCAGGAAGATGCTCAGCAGCTCGGCCAATGCCAAGTGAACCTGTTTGCTTTGCCCCGCCCACTCCCCCAAATCAATCGAATAACCAGCTCCACAAACACTGTCACATGACTTCCTCTTCTTCAGATCGTGGCCCCTCCCTCCACCTTGTTCACTGTGAATGACCCGTGTGAGTATAATAGTAATGTGAGATACGTGGTGTACATTTTGAAGTAATGTTCACATTCCATTTTTTTCCTTACAAATACACTAATATTCAATAGTTTGAGGTCAGATTTTTTAATTAAAGGGGTCATATGATGCGATTTAAATTGTTCCTTTCTCTTTGGAGTGTTACAAGCTCTTGGTGCATAAAAAAGATCTGTAAAGTTGCAAAGACTAAAGTCTCAAATCCAAAGAGATATTCTTTATAAAAGTTAAGAGTCAGCCACGCCTACCTAAAACGGCTCATTCTAACACGCCCCCACATATCTACGTCACTATTTGGGCGGCGTTATGCAACTCTTCCCACATCTTCACGCAAAGAAAGAAGGCGTAACTTTTATTCTCGCTGTAGTATTGTTGCCGCCGCCGCCATGTCGTGAAGGCACTGTGCGCTTCATTGTGAAAGCGAAACTACTTTGTCTGGCCTTCCAAAAGAGGACGATATCTGCTTCGTCATGCCTGGAGCTGATCCGTGCTTGTCGCTGAGGAAATACTTCAACTTTACGCGTGGATCGCCGGATCGGCTTTCACTGTGGACGAAGCGGAGTCCAGCCCGGGGTCGTCACATGTGGTTGCCGCAGGCATCACAATATGGTAAGGGACGTAACATTTCCGTCACACGCTTGAGGAATTCGGCCAATCACAACGCACTGGATAGCTGGCCAATCACAGCACACCTCGCTTTTCAGACCGATGAGCTTTGTAAAAATCAACGCGTTTCAGAAAGGCGGGACATAGAGGAGAAACAATAATGTACAGTATGTGGAAAATAATGTGTTTTTTTAACCTTAAACCGCATAAACACATTTCATTACACCAAATACACAAAATAATGTTCTTTTTAGCAACATCATATGACCCCTTTAATAGTTTAATTCAGCAAGGATGCATTAAATTGATCAAAAGTGACAGTTAAGCCATTTATAATGTTACATAAGATTTGTTTCAAATAAATGATGTTCTTTTGAACTTTATATTCATCATGAAAAATTAATATGCAAAAATATTAAGCTGCACAACTGTTTTCAGCATTGACAGTTAGAAATGTTTCTTGAGCATCAAATCAGCATCTTACCTAATCAGGGGTGCGTTTTCCAAAAGCAACTATGGTCGGAAGTTCCGTCGTTACCAATAGAGTTCAATGGAACGAACCACCATAGGATGCTTTTGGGAAACACACCCCAGAATGATTTCTGAAGGATCATGTGACACTGAAGACTGGAGTAATGATGCTGAAAATTTAGCTTTGCTTCACAGGAATAAAGTAGCCTACATTTTAAATTATATTTAAATAGAAAACTTAAATTGTAATAATATTTCACAATATTACTGTTTTTACTGTATTTTTGATCAAATAAATAATAAATTATACATTTTAAATTATATTTAAATAGAAAACTTAAATTGTAATAATATTTCACAATATTACTGTTTTTACTGTATTTTTGATCAAATAAATGCAGCCATAGTGAGAAGAGACTTCTTTCAAAAAGATTTTACAAATTTGACTGACCTCAGACTTCTGAACGCTAGTGTACATACAAATACATATACAGTAGTCTTTTTCTAGCAATGTTCTTGTACTAATAGTTTAAAATCAACATTAAACCATATTTACAACCATTTTTACTTGCATAAAGTGACATATCTTGAATGAAACAGGATGAAAATTTATAGGCAGGGACTTGATTTTGTCCACCTGGTATTAATTAGATTATGAAAAGACAAATGTATTGTTTTATGTTGATTTGAAAATCAAAGTTGAAAGCTTATAGCGACTCTAAAACGTATTTACACTATCACCTCAGAAAACATCGATATGCTGTACAACGTGACACTCGTGTTTTTAACAGTCATTTGATAAGACCCAACAATAAAACTGTTTGCGACATTATATTTTAATACTTTTTATATTGTTACTGTGTTGCTATGACGACCGGGCGGGGCTGGATTTCACGGGAACAGAAACCTGTGCAAAAAAAAAAAAACGATTTGATGTTACATTCGTAGAGTTCAGTCTTTAAACAGATAATCAAATGAGAATGTCTGCAGGGTGCTTCAGTAAAGTAGTAAATGGTTGTCTTCCGTGAAACTGTTTGTAGTATAATCTCAGTATTTACAAAGATGGAGTAGCATTTTGTGGTGTTATGAGCATGAAACATGGTTCTTTTCTGGCCAGAGAAGATGAGAGAGATGGATGAAACCATCAGCGTCACTGGAACGTGCTGTTATACCTGAACTATGAACCTACAACAAACACATCCTCTGTTATTTTTCGTTGTAACTCAACAAGTCATTGATTAAAACCCTCTGCATTTGAGTTTGAGACATCATGTATGTGTTGCCTGTTTTATTCACTCTAATAGGTGAGACCGGGGCTAGTTGTCACACACGTACTGAATATTTTTCAGAGTGGGTTTATTTTTTTAAAGTCACTTTCCATTATTACTGAACAGGTCATTTAAAACATATACTTGCCACTAAATTGGGGCATGTTGTCACACTGTATGTTGTAAAGAGAAACTGTTGTATATTTAAACAAATAAGAATAATTCATTTGTTTGTAAGATGAAATACAATACTATACTATTGTTTTAATTTTAAGCAAAAAAAAAAACATTTACATAGAATGTATTATACACTGAAAAAATGGTGTAGAAACCATTTTCACTCAGAAATTACTAGTACATTTCAAAATGAATGACAAAGAAAGGCATTGAATTAATTGTGAGATTAAGTATTATTTTAGACCTGAGAAATATGTTTAGAGAAATCTCTAAACACTCTAATATTCTTTGTTTTATTTACAACTTCGAAAAATCAGTAGAATAACTATTAATCAAAACCACAAAACAGCAAAATACAAAAGGTAACAAATAATAAAACAATATTAAATCACAGTTTTTGCAACAGATGTGAAATGTGCTAAATGAAATCAGATCACATATAATTAACATGACAATTTGATATAAAGCTCCCATGAAACAATATGTATGTGAATAGAGCTTTACAAACTTAAAAAAAAATGTGCATGAACATAAATGGACACCTGCAAAAGACATTGACAATGATCACAATTGCAGTATAAAAATAAATAAATAAATGTTAATTTTTTTCTTTCTTACCTTTAGTAAACATTCATTTCAGTTCAGTCATAGTAATGCCTTGCATTTCTAATCTTCCTGTTTAAAAGACAGGAACAACTAGTCCTTAGAAAATAATCTACTTCAATGCCACACATCATGAATCCCTGCAAAAAGTTCTCACCATAGAGCATTATATTTGCGTATTGCTCCTCTTATAGCAAACACAGCGAGGCCACAGCCACAAGACAGAGTATAGACTGCAACAGAATCAGAAAACTTGGATTATTGCATCATATATACAGTATATACTGTTCAAAAGCTTGGGGTCAGTAAGATTTTTTAAATGTTTTTGAAAGAAGTCTCTTATGCTCGACAGACTAACATGCTGATTTG